CTCCCGGGCTCTGCTGCTGCCCGGCTGCAGAGGGGGAAAAGGCAAAGCAGCCTTTGGCTGAGGCTCTGCTGGGAGAGCGGTTTCACGCTCCCACTTGGAGGATGCACAACGCCTTTCCTTGCCGTAGCCCACCCGGGACCGTTCCCACCCACAGTCCCACCCCCCCGTGGGGACGGGAGCACGGGGATGCTGCGAGAAACAAGCCAGCACACAGCCCTAGCAACAGCAGAGATGGGAGGAGGGACTTGGGGACCCCAGTGGTTAAAATTATTGATTTCTCTGGGTATTCGCATGGGTCGAGGCAGAGATTTTCCTGACGGGAGTTTTGCTAGACAGAGCTGAAGTGTTTGTCTCCCGCTTTCAGCTCCGGCTGCCCCTTCCGCTCAGCTCCACCTGATGCCCACGGCCGGTGACTCATCCTGCACAGGCCACCGCTTGCTGCATTCGGTCTTGCTCCCGGCGCCCCCCCCGGGTGCCGCAGCCGCAGCTCACGCCGCTCATCCAGCTCCTCTCCTCGGGGCCCCCCCACTCCCATCTCATGGGTGACGGGAGCTGGCCGGCGCTGGTGGCCCTGCACGTGGGCAGGAGGGCAGGAGCAGAGGTTGGGGATGAGTGTCTTCTTGCCCGTCCCCCTCCATCTGTCTCCCCTGTCCCCGGGTGGATGACAAATTGCTGCTGGTCCGGAGGGAGCAGGTGTAGGGACCTGGCAGCCGTCGTCACAGTGCGTCACCGCATGCAGAGCAATCAGGGCTGGCTGCAGAGCATAAATACACAGGGCTGCTCCAGGGAGCCCCCATCGGTCCCACCATGTCGCTCTGGGAGGGGATGCTCTGTCCCCACACGCTCCAGGGCAAGAGCTCCAGGGAGATCTTCCTCCATGTGGTGACCCCCGACCGCATCCCGCAGTTTACTATCCCCTCTCTGGACATCCACAAGAAGCACAGGCGCTCAGGCAAGGGGAAGGGGCAGCCGGCGGGGACGGCTTGGAGGAGCAGCTCCGACCCTTTTTGGATGAGCACGACGGCTCTAGCTCGTCCTGCTCTAACGCCGGGCTCGCTGCCACTGCGCGGGCTATCCCAGACCCTACTGCTCAGGCAGCTCTGTCCCTGCCTCATCTCCCCAAGGTGACCACCCCGTATGGCTTTGTCACCCTGGGGCAGAGCCCACAGGTCACCAGTGAAGAGGCATTGTTTTTTCACTCAGGCTCAGGTTATCCTCGAGGTCCTGCTGCTCAGATACGTCCCAGTTCCCAGGAGGAGCCGGGATGCTGCAGACACCCTGGGATGCCTGTTGCTGGAGGAGGTGGCTGCTCCCGGATGGATGGAGGCCTGAGGGACCGCAAGAAGCCGAGTCCCCATGCCACTGGTCACAAGGACGACGGAGGCAGCCAGGCCTACAGGAGCCCAGCAGGGCTTCCCCTGCCCAGGAGATGTGCCAGCCCGCTCAGAGACATCCAGATAACGGATGTGCTGGAAAGCAAAGAGGCAGAGAAGAGAGAGAGGAGGCTCCTGGAGGTGGGCTATCGGAGGAGCAGCACCAGCCCGGAGCTCCCCGCTGGGACATCCAGGAAGAATTTGCTCCAGAGGATCCTCAGGAGGCACCTTGCTTACCCTCGGCAGCTCAAGCCTACGAATTTCACGCTCCATTGATCCTGCAAAGCAGCTCAGAGAAACAGAGGTTCCCTCAAGACTTGTGAAAGAGGGACTCTTTGCAAATGCCTCAGGCTCAAGCCAGGCTCAAGCACGAGGGCGTCAGATATGTCACTGTACCTGGAGGAAAAGCGTTGAAATGGCATTGCCCTTGGCTGGGGATCAGAAGTGCTCTGCAGCAGGAGACCCCACAGGGCCGGGGGCTTTGCCGGCCGGGGTAGGACACCCCGAGGCAGGAGGGGCAGCAGCAGCGGTGCAGCTGCGCGGGGCAGGCTGGGGAGCAAAGGGGGCTGCAGGTTTGTAACCGTACGGGGTCTGAATAAAAGTGAAAACATTTCAACTGACCAGTGCACCTCTCCTTTTTTCTTGCCTGTCCCAGCAGTTAGGTATCAATAGGATATTTTGGCGCACGCCAGCACTCCCTCCCATTGTACCCCCAGTCTCAGCAGCTCCTGCGGTTTATCTCCAAGTGAGAGCAGGTTCTAGATGGGCTGAAACTGCTGAAATACAGAGCAGGAGACTGTCCAAACCCCCCAAGACAGCAGGCTAGGAGAGAAGAGTGATGATCACATCCACTTTTCAGCCGGTTTCCAGCTTTGTGGCTGTAGGGTGGGACATTTGCACGTGTCGGGGTCCCTCTGCCAGCCAGGACCTCTGCTTTCAGGACACAGCAGCTTTCCTGAAATAGCTACTCCACACCAGTCCACAGGGTACAGTTGCCAACTGCTCTTAACCAGCTGCGATAAAGTGAATTGCACATTATTGGCCGTGCTCTCATAAATTGCTTTTTGCTTTTATTGAGAAGCAGAACCTGCAATACCAGAATTAAAGCGTTCACGGTCAGCAATGTTTTGGGGCTAATGGAGCGGAGCCTCCTGGGTCAGCAGCGCTGGGCTGCTGCCACATTTACGTCAGGGCTCTTAATTCTCAGTGAGACTCCCTGAGAGGTGGAACTGGGAGGGCTGGTCCCGGTCCAGGCAGGCAGCTGGGTGGTACTGGGAGTCAGCTGAGGTCCCTGCGATGAGACCACACGGAGCAGGCAGCAATCAGGTTTTGAATCAGGGCCATTAAACAAGGAGTTAATAAATTCAGTTTGAATCCCATTCCTGCCGGGCTGGCTGTGCAACCTGGACCATGTCCTGCTCTAACTTGGTGGCTTGTTTTCCCCCATCTCTTCAGTTTCCCCCATCTCTTCAGTCTAGTTCGAAGATAAGCCCTTTGCTGGAACTGCTGAGCTTTGCCCAGCGTGTCTGAGCAACACCCAGCAACAAGGATGAGCAAGAAGCAAGACGCGGGCCCCCAGAGCCCCTGCTCTCCTCCAGACGATGCTGCATGAAAGCGCCAGTACCCAGAGGACTTCAGCGTTGGCGTGAAAGGGGGGTGGGAGCTTTTCATAGTGCAAATCCCAGACTTCTCCAGGCGTATACGTGCCCTCCTGCATGGCTCATGGTGTAGATATTAAAGAGTCTTTCTCCAGCACAGGAGAATGTGGCAGCCAAGGCTGCTAGAAAGGGAGCCGGGACCAGTTATGTGACAGAAAATCCGCTCAACAGTTATTATAAGGAGTGCTGGCACCATGGAGCGAGTCAGGGACTAAGGCTTCTGAAAACTTAAATTGATCTCCAGCTCCTGAGGGCATCGTCTCTGCTCAGCACTTCGGGCTGAGAGGGCAGATTATGTTACCAGGGATTAATAAACGAGTGGTTATCAGTTACTTGAGCTGTGATATCTGAACTTGTGCACGCTCCAAGCTGACAGGCAAATGTGAATTAAGGCATGCTCCTGTAAGCCTCTCTCCTTTTTCTTTTGATGCTTAAGCTACTACATAGTAGCGGCTCTGTCTAACTGCCTCATCATCTTCCATGGAAAACATGGGGACAAATTCTCGATGGCAGCTCACTGAAATTATGAGCCTGCTGTATTTAGCAATTAAACCTGGAGATTCGGAGCTAGGACTCCTAGGTTTTATTCCCTGCTCGGTGACCTTTGAGCTCCTGGGAACCTTTTTGTGCCCCATACCTTGTCTACAAAATAGGAAGAAATCTGCTCTGCTTCACAGGTAGCTTGCAGGGCTTCATTCATCCTTGTTCACAAGACATCTCTGGTGCCCTTGGCAGGATTTCCCAAGGGAAGAAATATTATGATATGTTATTACAGCCTGCCATGGTACAAGACATTTCCTCTGGATGTGCCAGCGTGGGGATTATCAGCCTGGACAGATTCACAAATTAAAGGTTTGTTTAAAATGGTTGCAGTGGGGATTGCCACATAGCAGGCGTGGAGCCGGGGCTAAGCTAGGAAGGAAACATCAATTCGCTGCAACACAGGAAAGGTGCTCTGCGGTGAAACTGTGCCTCTCTGCCATATTTCTGCTGGCTGCCAGGTTACAGCTCGAAGCATCTCTCCAGCCTGTGAAGTGAGAAGGACAATATCTCCCACTGGAGCAACGTGCCTCTGAGATTTACAGGATGCCCTTTCCCTGCAAACCCGGCACCAGGCAATGGGGACGTTACAGTGGGAGACATCACTGATGTGGCAAGATAAATAGTCGTTACCAGCGACTGATTATTCTGCCTGGGCCTGGTACATTTTCTAAATGCTGTTTTTGTCTGACTCAGAACTTTGTTCCAGCCTCCTGCAGGTACAGACAGCAGAAAAGCTCGGGGCTAATTATCCACTCTTAATCCCACGGTTTTAGCAGCACTAACCACGCTTGGCTGTAAGTAGGTGGAATCAGAAAAGTAACCAGTTCAAATCTCCCGAGCACGAGGGACCAGATGGGGGACAGTTCCCTAAATGCTCTGCAGCTGGCAGCTTCCCCAGGACCCTCCCGCAGGTCCCTCTGCCGCAGCCCGAGAGCCAGGCGCTGCCGCCCCACCATGCCGTGGCCTCCCCCAGCCCCGTCCCCAGCTGGGACTCTCTCCTGTGATGCTGAGATCCTTTTTTACCTCTACGTTGACCCTTCTGAAAGGTCAGATGCTCCAGACACTGCAGAGGCTGGTTGATTTGAAAGAAAACCAGCCAAACTGGGCAGATACCGAAAGCATTTCCCAATGCCTCATTCCTGCAAACTCTCTATCAAGACAAATAAACTGACCTTCCCTTTGATCTCAGTGGATCTAGTATATCTGTCAAGGTCTCTCTGATAGTGTTATCATCTCCCCTGTTCTCCAGCATTTCCACTGCAACCTATGGAAATCAGGATATATCCCTTTTCTTTTCAAACAAGCCCATCTTCCCCCTGGCCAGGCTGCTACGATTGCCGGTCACATCGGCACTGCAGCCCGGCGCCCTCCCGTTAGGCTCTACGGGGGCAGAGCAGAGACCCCCGAGGGGATGCCAGCCTCTCACTGTTGACAAGCTTGGGTGCAACAAATGTCGCCTCTTGCATGATGAGGGCCCTTCGCCACGCTGGGCACGGAGTGGTGTCGGTCTCACGGACACCGGGCTCTAAGCAGCAGCAGGAGTCAGATGGGAGCAACGAACATTTCTCTACGTGATTTTTATGCGATAGAGCACCTGGCCTTCCCGAGATCAATACCGAGCTGCTGTCTTTGCCAAGGATTTTATAGTCAGTGTCCATGCCTGAGGGGTGAGATAAACCCCTTCGTGTGCTCATTAGCTGCATGGCTCCTCTCCCAGCTAATTGGCACTGGAAAGGTCAAGATCTAGCTATGAGACAGCCTGCTGCAGTTAGGAGTCCCAGCTTGGGAAGCAGGGAGGCACGCAGGGCCAGAGACCGGGATGTTCTTCCACTGACTCCAGTGGAGTTGGGGATGCGGTTTCCCATCTGGTTTCTCAAGCGAGGGGAACCATGTACATCTCCCTGTCCAGACAGAGCCCGGCTCTCCTGCCCCCCGCCCTGCTGACCCCTCCCGAAACACCCTCCGCTGCCCTCCAGCAGCGTGTGTGCTCTTGCCGCCCCGCTCCACGCTGCAGGCGCCTGGCTGATCTGCAGGCTTCACCGGTGCCTGGATGCTATGAGAAAAACAGCTTCTCCAGCGGTTTAGATTTCACCTCCTCAGCTGGCAGGCTGTTTGTGACCAGGTAGCGACTGCCTCCGATTTAGCTGTTGTTCTCATTTGTTCCGCGAGTGGGTTTGTTTGCTTGTTTCCATTACTGCAAACATCTGACAGCCAAGCTGTGCTCGTTAGCTGCACGGGGCACAGGGAAAAGGCTCAGCGCTCCTGCCGGGCAGAGCCATGTGAACCTCTGCAAGGCACATGGCAGCAGCTGCTCTCTGCTCAGCTGCGCTTGCATGGGGAAAACACTTTTCCACCTACCCTGGCTCAGCAGCAGGACCTCTGTCCCCAGTCGCACTCTGCAGAGGCACAGCTGTGTGCGTGCATCCAGGTCCTTGCTTTTTCCTCCCCTTCCCTTCCCTTCCCTTCCCTTCCCTTCCCTTCCCTTACCTTCCCATTTCCCTTCCCTTTCCCCTTCCCTCCCCTTCCCTTCCCTTCCCTTCCCTCCCCTCCCCTTCCCTTCCCTTCCCTTCCCTTCCCTTCTTCCCCTTGTGAGGAGGAGAAATACTAGCCGTGTTCCCCTCCTTGGGGTTCCCCTCCCCAGCATGATCATCTGTTGCTCTTCATGAAGAGTTGAGACTGATGTTCCCCATAAATTTCCACCTGTGGCTGTGTAATTCCTCCTGCAGCTGCCCTGGAGAAGTGGGCAGGTTGTTTCCCCGGTGCGGTGACCTTGGCAAGGCGAGGAGCGGTGGGGGTGGCCGCAGGGCTTTGCTTCCAGACCCCGCGATGCGAGGGTTGTTCCCAGGACGCAAGGGGTGCGGGCTACCCCCAATGCCCGTGAAGGCGAGGGGCAGAGCATGGCGATGCTGCAGCCCTACAGCTCCTCCGTGCACATGTAGCATGGCCCTGCACATCACCCTGATGTTGCAGACCACCTTCAGCAAGCCCAGGAGGCCCGGGGCCAGCGGTGGTTCACCTCAAGCAACCTCCTTCCCCTGCATCTTCCCATCCTTTGCTGTCACTTCTTCCCATGCT